AATTATTTATCAATTACATAAACATTACATTATTAATTATTTAATTAACCAAAAAAATTACATCTTTATTAATAACAAATTAATTCTTAAACAAAACTATTAAATATAAATTAGGCAAACGTGCATTGCACGTTACTTGCACTTAATAATTAAAAAAGTTGTTATAAGAGCTAAAAAGGAGTCGCCATACGTCAATCTCTCAAAATGATCCAATTATCCAAAGACTTGAGGGAAATTTATAAATACCCTTGTAAAGAAATGCATGCAATTCAAATATCTCAATTTCAAATAACTATTTCCCTTCTTAATCTAGTTTGAGCATCCAAAATAGTGAGTTTAGGAAGTGAAAATTATAGGTAGGTGAGTAGGATTTGTTGATCAAATTTTTGTTGTCAACAATTTGGAATAAAGAGCCATTTGGAAATTTATTTTGCTAAATGTAGATTATTTTTTCTCTTAAGGGTTCTATTTAATTTTGAAAATTTGTAATTCATGATATGGACACAACGATTGTTAGTCGATGTCAAGATTTAATGGGACATCATGAAATTTGGAGTGCATGCCGTTAACAAAATAACCGGCTATGTAATATATTTAAGTTTAATGAGTAAATACGTAAAGAAATACTTTAAGCGATGAATTTGAAAATTCCCTTGAACTTCAATGACCATTTTTGTAATTAGCTGTATTTCTTTTACAAATTACAAGTATTAATACAATTTTTTACATTTATGGGTAGTGAGAGTCCTTTCGGTGGAGGAATGCTTGTCACCTACTCCTCTTCCTTTAGTATCTATCTCAAAAGCCTGTCCAACTAGAGAGAGAAACTGCCCACAGCTGCATATATCTGCAGATTTATAGATTTTGATCTGTGATTTTTGGATGGAGGGGCAACAGTGTAAGATTTGTTTCAAGAGCTTCTCTAATGGCAAAGCTTTGGGGGGTCACATGAGGTCCCATTATGCCACCCTGCCACTTCCACCCAAGACGCCGCAGAGACGAGAACTCGGAGGCGACACTGAGTCAACTACTTTTTCACTGTTTTCAGTACTCGAAGATGTGGATGAGAAATTACCGAAGAGCTTGAGGGTCGTAGATCCAGAATTCCTTGATGATGCAGGCTCGGTTGTTATTCAAGGCAACGTAACTGAGCCCGAGTCAACCAGGAAGAGATATCCAGGTCGGAGAAGTTCTAAGGAAGTGATCAAGAAGAGAAATACTGGGTCATCAACCGAGTCATTGGCAGAGTTAGAAATGGTGATCAGACGCAGTTGTGTTTCTGAAGAAGAAGAGGGTGCTTGGTCTCTGATTATGCTTTCGAGAGATGGTTGGAGTTCAAATGACTCGGTTGAGTCGAGAATGTGCCAACTCAGTGAGAAAAAGTATCAATGTGAGACTTGTGAGAAAGTATTCAAATCATCTCAAGGATTGGGTAGTCACAGAACGAGTCACAAGACGAGATGATCAAAAATTGGAAAAACTTTTGAAGAAATTGAAATGTGTTTTTACTGAGTTTATCAATCAGATCAAGATTTGATAATATTCATTTCCCTTGATGTCTTTTCTTTTTAGCATTTTTTGCCTTTCCTTTTCGACTAAATTAAATTGGTTAAGTTTATTTTCTCGGTTTTTCCTGCCTGTTTCCAGCTGCTTACTGATTCCTAATCTGTTTTCTATTTTTCCAATTTTGAAGGGATTAATTAAACAACAATGGTTTGTTGGTCTTTAAAATTTTCTTGCAAATCAGACACTGAAGTTTCCTAATGGTTCCAATTTGGTCACCATTGACACAAAAACCTTAATCATGGATGGTGAAATTGTGAACAGTAAACTTTGGATGTTAAAATCAGATTTGAGTAATTCGTGAAATTAACTGGAAGTAAAACGGATTTCAACTTTTGGTAACTTCTTTATTTTAGCATGATTTAGGCTTGCAAGTAAATAGAATTAAACTTTCCTTTGGTACACAATGGTGTTATGTTAACAACATAAGAGCAAGATTTGATTTTAATCTTAATAGCAATGTGACCAGATTGGAAACATTTAAAACTCCAGTGACTGATTTGGAATAAAATAAATTTTGGGAACTAACTTCAAGTTTTACTGCAACTTTAAGAACCAAGTTTAATCCATTAACCTTATTATTGTTATGGGCATTCATAATAGCGTTTTAGCATTTGGTATTGTAGTGTGTTTGATGCATGCAGAAGAGTTCTTTATGAGATGCCAGAATGCATATCCCAAAATTTAACTAAAAAGCATCAAAATTAATCTTGGAGAGGTAGCGAAGCTGTTAAATAGCAATTAATGGCAATAAATAGTTTGGAGAAGGGATTCAAAGGTAGGCCAGGGTGGCCCGTCACCATGCATTAGCGGCCCATGGCGGGCGCTGAGCGATTTTGAAGAGGTGGGATGCGTCTTATTCATTTTTTGTTTTCTTTCGTTAAATATATTAAGTGGAAATTTAAAAAGAAAAAAAAGATTATTGAGCCCAATGGCCCCGACAACACAAGTTGTGTTAGACCTCGATTTTGCTAATGGATGAGTTCACCACGATCCACCAAAAATTATCGGTTGTGCTGAACCTATAGAATGGCCTTGTCAAACCTGAAGTGTGATGGTTATTTTACCTTGATATTGTTCATCCCTTCCCTCAAAATGAGATTCAAACTCAAGTCATCAGCCTGGTAAGAGTGAGCTAGGTCCCGGCCTTGAATAGTTAACTTCAACTCAAAAACTTTTAATTCTCAAGTGTTGAATCTTCATGTTTTCGTGGCTAACCATGGAGAAATTCATGATACCTAACTCTTAATTTACCACAACAATTAACATTAGACATGTCAAGAATTTGGGGAAAAAAATCACTTGCTCCCTTCACATCAAGGTTATGGAATCTATTGTGATGAATGTTAACCCTCGAAAAGTCTAAAACATAGCTAGCTATTGGTGAGGTATAAAGTGACGCGAGAGGAATGAAGAAACAAAAGGCTTGCCAAAGGTTGCGAACCATCTTCCATATCAAAGCTGGCTACATGTTATCAATAAAGGACACGTGGACAAATAAATAAAGTGTGATTATCAACCGAATCTGTTAGAAGATAGCCAACAAGGAGCCACCTTCTATCATTTTCCTAAAAAGACCAAACTACACTAATCTTGGAGGGAAAACTATAAATACCTCCTCATTCGAAGAAGAAAGACATGTAATTCAAATATCTCTCTCAAAAAGTTATTTCTCCTCTTATTCTAGTTTAAGCATCAAGACTACCGAATTTAGGAAATGAGAGTAGAGGTGTCAAGACGGACGGGTCGGCCAGACCCATGAAAACCGGCCCGGATCGACCCGGGACCGCGGGCCGACCCGTGACCCGAGCGAGCGGTTCACGGGTCAAGGAGGTGTGACCCGTGGGTTGCCCCTTCACTGGCCGCGGTTAACCCGCTAGCCCGTGAAAAAAAATTTTAATTTGAAATATATAATTTTGGAACAAATATATAAAAGTAAAAAATTGAAATTGGAATATACAAATATTAAAATATATAATTTTTGAACTACTAAAT